TTACTTTGGAGGTGCCAATCTTGTCAAAAAGAAAGATTTGATGAAATGCTTTGCTGACAAGAACTGGGGTCACGACAACGATGGGGATGCCTTAAAGATAATTGTGTTGTATTTAATACACACTTTTATTTTTTCATCCGAGAAGAACAGCACAACCATCCCAAGGCTACATTTTGACTTGGTCGAGAGTGGGCACTATTCTGAATATCCATGGGGTATAAAAGCATTTGAAAGCCTGACAAAATCTATTAGCAAGAAGATGGATGCTCAGAAGAAGTACTACAGGATAGCTGGGATGCCTCTAGCTATGCAAGTGTGGTTTTATGAGTGCTGTTCAAATATTGATCCCAAAATTGCACTCCGAGTTGATAACGTGGTCCCCAGAATACTCAATTGGAGATCCACCGGAAATCAGCCAAACTTTCCTTATCTGATGAACGACATGTTCAATGACAAGGGAAACATGGTAATTTACAATTTGTATCCTGGCTAGTTTACAATTTACTAATCATTAATGCTGCATACATTTGCATACACTTATTGCTGCATACAGCTGCATACAGTTGAATACAGTTGCTGCTGCCTTCATTAGTACTGCTGCATATTTCATTGATTGAAACTTGAATACAGTTGTTGTTGCCTTCATTAATACAGTTGCATATAATTTACTAATCATTACTGTTGCCTTCATTTGAATACACATTACATTTTGATTCTAGATTTGCATACATCCATTGTAGTACAACTTTGATTGTATTTCGTTTTCAAATTGTTTACAAGGACATCCATCCAACTGATATAGAGCTTGCCGTTATTCAGATTCCTCCAGTAGGCGTTGCTATTGAGAACAGTCCTACTCCTACTCATTCAGACAAGTCGACAGAGGATTCGGATGACTTTTCTCCTACACCCGATCTCCAGTGTAAGAAGAAACATGCTGCAAGTGTTGGTCCATCTTCATCACCGCCCCATAAAAAGCGCAAGGAACAGATTATTCATCCCTCAAATACAGAGAATCAATCCAATATTCCTCCTGTTGGTGTATCTGAAATTGCACAAAATATTTTGCATCACAATCAGCTGGCAGATTCCAAAAATGATGAAGTATCTTCTTTGAGGAAAGACCTAAATTCATTCAAAGAATACGTGAGTTTTTTATCCACACAATAAACATTACAGTTTAGTGCTTAACATTCGTATATTTTTGGCGCACTTTTCTAATTATTTCTGTCTTGCCAAGGTTGTGGGCGAGTTCAAGTCTCTGAGATCATTGATCAATGATAACTTTAAGATGCTTTATGACCATCTTCAAGACAATCAGCAAAAAGAAAGCTTACACCAGAGAAAGGAAACCACAGGAAGACGTGATGATGGTATTGAAATGACATATGATGCCAACTTGCAAGTTATTCCGAAAGGTCACAGACAGACTGATATAGTTGTCAGCGATAATGTTGAGGTTTAACATTTTTTAACCTCTTTAGTATATGTTTATATCTCCTGTTTGCTCTTATTCGGATTAATCATATATAAAATAATTTTGTAACATTGTGAAATACAAGTATATACAGAATAATTCAGTATTTTTAATTATCTTAATCCTATATGCATTTGTATTTTCCTGATTTTATTTCTACATAATTATTGTGCTCTTCCCATGTTGTATCTACATGTATTCATATATATTATAACATGATACTTGTATTCATTTAAGCTTCCTCTATAAGTAATGTTATAACTTCCAGTTAGATACATTTAAATTCTGCCCAAAATATGTAATGTATTTATATGTATTCAGATGTATTCTTAATATGTTTTCCAATGTATTTAAATTCTCCACGTAAATACAGCCTCAGCAAAATACAAATTAAGATCAAATATGTATTGTATTTATATGTATTTAACTGTATTCATACAGTCAGTTACTACACTAACATTGATGCATGCGTCTAACAGAATACAGTGGTTAATGCTCTTTGTGTGGAGTCAAGAGTTGAGGGGAATACTACATCAGAGGTGCCGTGCAACATACCACCTATAGGCCAAGAGGGTGTATCTACAGATTACTATGTATCTCAATTTGAGTGGACGACAAGATTCTTCCCGGTCAAATTCCAGAAACTAGAATTGTGATACACAGCAGTGCAAAAAAAGTTAAATAAACCCCAGTACCATCTCATAGGAATCGGCGACCAAGTAGATGGTATTCTTCGCCTTACGAGTCTAACTTCGACTCCGCAGGTTAGTATTTAATAAACTAATGATCTATTTTCCCATGGTTTTTATAATTAAAAGTCTCTATTCACGAATTCAATGAACAACAGGTACCTCAGTAAAGTTGACCCCCATTTTTGAAAAAAGACATCCCTTTGAGGATGATTCAATAACAGGGCCGCATCCTACATTAATCATTCAGGAATACGACAAATGGGTTCGTGATGGTCTTCTTGCTAGACATGAACAGAAGTGAGTTTTTTCCCGGTATGTCTATTACGTATTTATATTTTTAAAAACGGATATAATGTTTTTTTTTATATCATACTTGTAGAAGTAATTTGGAAGCCCATTACAAGAAGAACAAGTCAACACTTCATATACCATTAGATTTTGGAGTTGATCAAGTCAATTCAAAAAATTGGTTTTACCTTCTATCGTTTGAAGGTAAACTATGGGATGAAAATGTAAGTTTTACCCCTTCCAACTCCACTATAATTTATTTCTTTAGTATTGGTTTGTCTAATTGTATAATTCACAAATTGAGCTCCCACACAAGTTTGTCTTACATTACTTTTATGTATTCAATTGTACTCAGATGTATCTTATACATCTGTTGTATTTAATTGTATTCAGATGTATTTTAACATTACTTAGTAGTTGTAAATAAAAGATGTATTTAACTGAATCTGTATGATGTATTTAATGGCATCATTATTCTTGAATAAATGCTGTATTGTGTTGTATTCATATGTATTTTAAAAGTTCTCAGTATGTTGTAACTAACAGATGTATTTCAGTACTATGTATTTAATTGCCTCATTAGTCTTGAATAACAACATGTATTTAAATTTATTCATATGTATTTTAACATTACTCGGTAGTTGTAAATAACAGATGTATTTAACTGAATCTCTATGATGTATTTAATGGCCTCTTTATTCTTGAATATTTGTTGTATTTAAGTGTATTCAGATGTATTTTACTGTAGTTAGATGTATTATTCTTGAATCTGTGTGATGTATTTAATTGAGTTTTCACTTACCATATTCAGTTTCTTTTTTTTAATTTGATTAATTGCACTAACACTATGTCATTAAATTTGTGTTTAGCATATTGACGTCATATTTTACTATCTGAGAAAGAAGGAAAAGTACAACCAAAAAATCAACTTCAAGTATACAACTGTTGATTGTATATTTAAGACAAGAATCGCTGAAATCTTCGACAGGTATGCTGCAGATAGTAATGCAAATGTAGCCAAAGAAGAGGATGTGGTATGTGAGTACATAAGGGGCTACAGATTGCTAGCTAATGTACCTTGGCATACTGTTGACAATGTCTTGATACCAGTCAACTTGAAGGACAAACTACACTAGATATTGGTTGTTGTCTCATTCAAGGAGAGATGTATCAAAGTGTATGACTCGTACAGATCTGCAGGTCATGATGCCTATGTAGCTTCTGAGATAGATAAGCTAGCTAAGTTTGTACCTCTGTATCTATCAATCAGTGGCTTTTAAAGAGATAGTCAAGGCATAGATTGGTCTACTTACTCAGCATACACTGACAAGTCACATACTGATCCCTTTGAAGTTGTTTTCATATCAAATCTGCCTCAACAAAAAGCTGGGAGCATGTATGTATTCAATCATCATTCTTGTATCATTTTAAAACTCTAATTATATGAATTATTTTAATTGTTTCAATCAACATTTTTTAGGGATTGTGGGGTGCATGTTGCGGCATACGCAGAGTTTCTGAGCACTCTTGGTGAGATTCCACAAACAACATTTGATTCTAATCTACTCCGTCAAAGATATGGTGCTATCCTCTGGGACTATGCTATGCGGAAGATAGACGTTGATGCCATAAGTGAGAATGAAGCACTCTCAAAGATTGCTAGGCAAATCACGGAGTCAGATTCAAAGTTACAGATAGTGTTAGAGTAGCTTTAGGTGAATGTAGTTTTGGAATGTTGTTTTAGGTGAATACTATTTTTTTGAATATCTTTTTGACAGAAGATGGTATTCAGCTAGAAAAACCAATGTTTTATTCACTTTATCAACACTGTTCATGTATGACAATTGCAACTTTTCAATCTATGTTTTATTGTTTTGTTCATAAGTATTCATGCTTAATCTGCAGTTTCTACTCGTATGTATCTTACAGGATATATTCATACGTATTAAACAGGGCGTATAAATGTGTATTAATATTCAGTCACTTGGCTTATATATCAAAGTCAGCAACTGTATGCTTCAGGTTTATACGTATGTACTCAACTTGATGTATGTATTTATTGAAATTGTTATTCGAATGTATATGTTGACAAGGTTGTATTCGAATGTATTCAACACAATACTTACTCAGGTTATATGTATTAATTGAAATTATTATATTATAGCTGAGTATATAGTTGTATTTCAATGTATTTTGATTAGTTATGTATATACAACTCAGGCACTGTCTATAATAAATTGGCTAAGTATATGTTGACAAGGTTGTATTCGAATGTATTCAACACATTACTACAACTAAATGTATCCAGAATCTATTCACGAAAGGCATTTCAAAATTTATTACTTCACAATGTCATCAGAAGTAATGACAAATCGTTGGAGCACTAATACATGTCAGAGTGTTAACTAAATTCTACGTGGAGCATTTCTACACGTTCGCTTGTTATGTCTTCCCTGCCCACATATGCTACATGAATGTTAATTTTTCGGCTGCAGCAATTCACTGAAAGGTTTATCACGCTTCTTCTTTGGCCTTCCAGGAGGTCATTTCCATTTGGGTGGTAATACAACTTCCTCTGCAACATGTGGTGGTATATTCCAGTCATTTCTGTCCGGTAGCGGGTACACATGCACATCGTATGTCATTACAACAGAATTTGGTTTGTAATAGTTAGAGCAATAATCTTCTGGCATTAGAAACTTGCTCTTCAATACAGCCCAAGCATGTGGGCATGGTAATTCATCAACTTGGAACCTCCCACAAACGCATTTTCTCTCTAACAGGCAGACGGTGTAATGCCTCCCTCCATCGTTAACTGTATGTAAGTATTCAGTCGATGGTACCACCTACATTTAAACATAGACCTATAAGTTTTGAGCACATATAAATGAATTTCTTTATGTATAATGCTGAATTATTCAGTTAAATACAACTAAAATATTTGAATACAGAAGAATACATCATATATGTAGACCGGCAGACTATAAACTATAATTACGTCTTAGCTTATGAATACAATGACATACATCAAAGATCTGCTTAACTTTAGGCAGCTGAAAAGAAACAAAACATTATAAGGCTACTGCATGACAATACAACTGAATACGTCTATCTAAAAAATTCTGTATAAGTTATTTCAGAAAACAATTAAGCTATCTAAAAAAATAGCATAATATATGATACAATGACATTAAAATAAAACTTACAGCCATGCGTGTAGATATTGCCTCATTCAAAGTCAGCATCTCCTGGTATTTTTTTCCAAGCGTTGTGTATGTCTGTGTAGCTCTTTGCGGTTACTGCAATTTCAACGTCCAAACATCTTCCTAACTTCTTCGAGGAAGTCGTATATTGGCAATTCCCTTGCTGACACTAGTGCGGCACTTATTGACTCAGCAATATTTGACGTCATGGTCCATCTCCTGTTAACAGGTGCATACAACCTAGCCCACTTTTCGTATCCAGCTAACTCCAAGTATTCTTTCACCCTAATATCTACCTTCTCCACCTTCTCCATTAGACTGTCAAATTCAGCTTGTGTGTATGCTTTTGCCATCGAGAAGTATATCTCGCTCAACTTTGCATGGCTCTTTTTGAATTTCTTATATACGTTGTTCCATAGATGCCATATACAGGCAAAATGAGGTACATCTGGATACACTCTCGATACAGATTTAATGATACTCTCATTTCTATCTGAAACTATGCACATGTTTTCCCTGTCACCATATGCTATCTTGAATTGCTCAAAGAACCACGTCCAAGCAGCATTGTCCTCTGAATCAATAACACCATATGCTAGTGGCAATATATGACCTGTAAAGACAATTGAATACATATTTTTAAAACATGTATTTCAATCTTTAAAATATTAACAGAATTTATTATAATTCACGTACTCACCTGCACCATCTAACGTGCTTGTCGAGACGAATGTCCCGGTTTAGTAAGATTTTAGGTGACTTCCATCCACAACCACAATGGGTCTACAATGATCAAACCCCTTTATAAAGGCATACAAAGATATATATACATACATGAACTCATTTTTGGGCGATTTTACCATTCTGATGTGCGAACTTGGATATTTCATATCCATTGTATATAAGTATCCTGGTAATTTTTTATATGAATCAGCCGGTTCACCTCTCAAAAAATTCATTGCCTTTTCTTTAGCCGCCCCGTCAACATGTAGCTAACATATACACCTAAATCTGATTTCACATCATCAATAATATCCTTTGGGGTGTATTTTCTCTTATGATTAGTAAGCTTAGGCCTAATCATACCACCTATAAGGCTGCTACTTGCCTGTCGCTGCTCATACACCTTGTCCTTCAGCGGACATGTATGGTTATTAATGAACTCTCTCACTTTGAATAGTTCTGATTTGTTAATGCTCGAAGCCTTAAACCTCCATTCACAATCTTCTGACAGACATAATAATGCATAGCTGCAAAGAATTTATCATTATACATATGATTAGCATAAATGTTTACCAAAAATGCATTCATATACACATGAATACATTCTGACATCTATATATATAAATTATTATAACTGAATACAATTATAGTTATATGCATTTACATACAATGAATACAACTGAATACAATTATAGTTATATGCATACACTTAAATACAAACAGTAAACAAAATAGGAAAATAATTAGAGCCACTGTAATGTAATTATACCAGTAAAATACATATGAATACATGTATTTAAAGACCATAAACAAACAGATGTTAAACACATCAGTGAAGATCAAGTGAAAATCCACAAATACGCATAAATACATCAACGTATAACTTACAACTCCAACCAGTAAACAAAATAGGAAAATAATTAGAGCCACTGTAATGTAATTTTACCAGTAAAATACATATGAATACATGTATTTAAAGACCATAAACAAACAGATGTTAAACACATCAGTGAAGATCAAGTAAAAATCCACAAATACGCATAAATACATCAACGTATAACTTACAACTCCAACCAATAATACAATATACAAAAAAAAAATACACTCAAACCTGACACCATTAGACCTATCAACCCGGAATTGAAACCTTTGAGATATAGCATAATTCTCCATCACCTCTTTCAGTGTAGCCTTATCCTTGTATACTTGTCCAACCATAACCTCCCTTTGATTAGTTTTTGAAATTATCAAATCCTTGTCCAGTTCAAATACCCTAATTGCTTCTCCTGAATTGACAAAATCTAGAGCAAGCGTATCATCTGTACCGGAATCATACCTTTGAAGTGATTCGTCTATTTGCACAATATGGCCTTGAATTAAATTACCACCGGATACAAGTTCTTTTTCAATCGTTGTTATGCACAAAGGATACATCCCGAATTCTCTATTCTCTTTTTTCAACTCTACATACACCCTGTAACCCATGTCATTGTGTATTTCCATTGGCGTGCTATTCCCTTCTACTTTGTATTGAATTTTAATGGACTTTGAGCTCAAATCTATGCCCAGTTGATTAGAAATTGATGCAACCAAATCATTATACGACGCATACTCCTTTATCAGTATTCCCTCAATTGAAAAATCGACGTAATTGCTCTCATCGTTCCACTTGCCAGAATGACGCAACAACACTATTAAACTTGCCATATGTATAATGGAATTATACTGTATTTTGTATACAATTCTATCAATCGCACTTTTCCGTGGTTAAAAAGAGAACTGGGTACAGAGAAAAGGGAGAACTCAAATTCCAGATGTTGCTCTTGTTTTCGCTATTTTTCTTGTTGAATCGTGAATGGAGGAATACTGATTAATGGGCAATAGTTTGTGTTAGTTGAGTTAAATTAGGAGTATATCGGGTGAATTGATTTCCTTTCCGTTTTAAACAAGTTCAACCTTCCATATTTTACGCGAAATACGTTACTGTATTCACGATATGGCCGCGTGAATACATTCGAATACATCTCAAGCTTAGCTGGAATTCCCTTATTCACGCCTATTTTTGCTTTTGTATTAATGAATACAATAGCTTAAATATATCAAATACATCTTATAACCACATAAAAGGTACCTATAATACGTAATATAGCAAAAGGTATCTATAAATGGCTAATTACACCTAAAAGATAGTGCTTTATGAAAAATTCTCAGGTTTAGATTCCCATTAAGTATTGAATCTAATTAAGTTAAATTAATTATAATCTGAAACTTTAGACAAATAACCTATTATAGTAAGTTAAGTTACATTAAGAATAATTCTTTTTACAATGATAATATATTTAAATTAAATTCATGATTCATTTGCATTTCATTCATGGAGTAATGCATGCAGCATAAGAGTAAAGCCAATCATGAAAGTCAAGCTGAATAAATTAAAAGCATCCAATTAAAAGACATGAAGATCCTCTTCAACAATGGGATTACAATATGGGAAATTATGAATGTCATGTCCAGTTCTACAATTATGGACAAACAATCTGCTCTGTTTGGTTACAGTGTCCTTTTATTGTTGGTGGGGATTTTGCCAGACTTGGTCGAGCCTTCCTCGTTTCCTATGGTTTGGCCACGTACCATTTTATGTGTGTGAATTCGAAAACTGGTTACTTAACATAGTAAACAAATATTAATGAAGTTTTGAGCTGTTTAACACGACATTCAGAGGTGGATCTTGAATTTTCGAAGGATGAGTTCACCATTACTTAAAAAAAATAAACAAAAAAGTTGGTAAAGGATTCGATCCCCTAACCTTTAGGCTATTGGAAGAGAGCAAAACTAATGCACCACTTCATCTCTTTTCACCATGGGTTCCATCAAATATACATATCTATTTTTACCAAATTATGTACTATTATATCTATACTTTAACCCGAGGATCACGGGTTCACGTAAACCATTTTTTGCACTGTAAATCCGCCTCTGAACGACATTGATATTCCGAACCCTATAGGTCTGGGCGCCAAGCCAAGCAAGCTGAGCGTTGAGCACAAACTTTAATAAAAATAAAAAGATTTTTAAGATATATGGTCTTAAATAAGTCATAATATTTGTATGACAGTAAAACTTTTGAAATTTATAGTATGAAACCTACCATAACATTTGTGTGGTTATAAATATTTCTTATTAAGGAGATATTAAAAAGTGTCAATCTTTTTTAAATAGACTAATAAGAAAATAGTGTCAATCTTTTTGAAACAAAAGAAGCACTAATATTGATCCAGACTGAGTTCAACTGAACTTGCAACAATGCCGAATATAATTAATATATTCAAAATAATTATATATTAACAAAATATCGTTTCAGTCCCATTTCACAAAGTTCAATTGAAGTTACTATAGTTCTGAGCCAATTTAGACCCAGGGCCGGCTCTAATGTTGTAGTTAGTAAGGCTTGTGCCTTAGGCCTCCATATTTGGGAGGCGCGTTTTTTAGAAATAATAGGTTTATATATATTCAAAAAAATAATATTTAGTACTTTTGGTACAAAAGTAGACTTTCTCATATAAAAGGAAAGAATTCTTTTGAGCTATGTAAATATAGTAATTGTTTGACTTACTTAAAATGGGTAGTATGAATAGTTAACGCGTGAATTAAAATTGATTTGATAAGGAAAATAGTACAAATAGAAGATATTACTCTAATTGATAGACCCAATCAAATAAAAAGACTTTTCCTTTTCAAATATTTATATTACTTACAGAATAATATTAACAGTTCCTATAACAATTGCCTCAACAAAAGAAGTTTTCAAAATTAAAATTGATAAAATCTTAGCTAAGATCAATAATGTCTCAAGAAAGATTAAATAGGTTGGCTATATTAGTGAAAAGACATTATTTGAAAAAATTGATTTATAAATATATTAACAACTTTGCATCTCAAAAATTTAGAAGAATAGACTTCAAATAAAAATAGAGAAAATCTCACTTTATACCCATTAAATTCAAACTATTTACCCTTAAATACCCATACCTAAACTATTTACTTTTCCTACCTATGCAATCAATACTATTTACCCGCCCAAATGGTTTCCTTATTTAATGTATGTAAAAACTCCTAAAATTTAGAATTTTGAATGCAAACAAAGAATTTGTTATTTTTTCTCTCCTGACATTAAGAACATGATTTTCTTCTTTTAAATTTTTTGTCTACTTCTTTTTTCGTTAGAGAGTGTTAATAATAAATTTAACGAAATCATGTTAGAATAATTTTACAAGTTAAAGATGTAT